CGTGAATTTCTTCACTTTGAGGAGATCCTCGACATTGACGGTGGGGCGGGTGGTGGCCAGCGAGCGCAGCATGTCTGACTGCAACACAGATGGGTGGGCACGGGGCTCAGACCATGGGCGTGGGATAGGGATCCCCCATGGCAGTGGGGCACCTCTGCCCCATGGCAGCAGCACTGACCGCAGGTGGGAGCTGCCTGGCAGGGCCAAGGCCCCTTCCTGTCACCCAGCCATCCTCCAGGGGACTCAGGACTCCAGGGGGGTAGACTGAGGGTTTGCCCACCCCCAGGAGCCACAGCCCTGCCTGACCCTTGGCCTGGAGGATGAACAGGGAAGTGGCCAGGCCAAAGCTGTGGAGGAGACACTTACCATGCAGACAGTGGGCTCCATCAGCTTGTCACTGGGCACCTCCATCCAGGTCATCTCGATGGCCCCAGGGTCACCGGGCGAGCACGGCGTCAGGAGATCATCCACGAGGGCACCGGGAGTGGTGCGGGAGGGGCCGCAGACCTGCGCAGAGACACGGCACGTGGCACAGAGCTCGGGGTGGGGGGACAGCAGCCACAGTGCCCGGCCCTCCCCAGGACCACCCTGGGCCGTGGCAGCCCCCACTCACCTTCTTGAAGTGCGTGGCCGACTGCACCTTGCGCACGGGCTGCATCAGGGCGTCCCGCACGATGATGCTGATGTCGGCCCCTGAGTAGCCGTCGGTCTTGCGGGCGAGCTCCTGGATGTTGGCGTCCGTCAGGGAGTGCGGCGTGTTCCCCAGGTGCAGCCGGAACATCTGGGCCCGCGCCATCTCCTCGGGCAAGGGGATGTAGATCCTCTTCTCGAACCTGGGGGGCACGAGGGGTGAGCCCCAATGCCAGCCCTGCTATGGGGCTGGCACAGGGGGCTGCGTCTGGGGCTCACCTTCTCCTGATGGCTGAGTCCAGCACCCAGGGGATGTTGGTGGCACCCAGCACCAGGATCCCATCGCTGCTGTTTCCCACACCTGCAGGCAGATGGCTCAGAACAATCTCCAGGGATTCTCTGAATCCCCAGGTTGTGGCTGCCTCGTCCTGCTCCCACCCACCCACCTTGCATCTGCACCAGGAACTCGGTCTTGATGCGCCGGGCTGCCTCACTCTCGTTCTCGTTGCGGGAGCCACACAGTGAATCCACCTCATCGATGAAGATGATGGAGGGCTTGTGCTGCCTTGCCAGCTCAAACAGGTTCTTCACCAGCCTGGGAACAAAGCAGGGGATGGGGTCCCCCCTCAGAGACCCTCCTCAGCACCACCATGGCAGCCCCATGTTCCTCCCATCCTGGGAACCCCACTCTGGCAAGGGAAGTGCCACATCAGGGGCTGTGGGGCCCCTCAAGGGGCTGTGCTCTCCCCTGGACCCTGCTGGCAATTAAAGTCTAATTATAAGGTACCAGAAATTAATAATGTAGAGTTAAGTGTAATTATGACTTGCTCACAGCCTGGCAAGGGTGGGCCCTCCTCGAAGTGAGCTGTAAATGAATTCTGAGCACAGACAGATGGGAAATCTTCAGGTAAGAGCTGCAACTCTGGAGAGCCCCAAAGCTGCCCCAAGCTGAAGCATGAGAGCAGTTGATCAAGACAAGGAGACAGAATCCAGTTAAGTGTTAGAAGACCCCAGCTTCAAGTTGCTGTTGGACTAAGAGGTCTGTAAAATGGGGGGCACAGGCAGTGAGGGAAGAGGCCCAGGGATTGCTTTGTTCAGACTCTCTGAAGGCACCAGCTCCCAATTCTTTAACATCCCCGTTACTGAGGCTCCCTGGTGCTGGTGGCACGTGGCCATGTCCCTGCTGCCAACTTACTTCTCACTCTCCCCCAGCCACTTCGACATCAGGTCAGAGGATGACACAGAGAAGAAGGTGGAGTTGTTTGCCTCAGTGGCCACAGCCTTGGCCAGGTAGGACTTGCCGGTGCCAGGCGGCCCAAAGAGCAGGATCCCACGCCAGGGCGTGCGCTTCCCTGCGGCAGAGACCGGGGTCAGGCCTCCCCATCCCGCACCCAGATCCCTGCTGGGGTCACCCAGGGAGGGGTCACCTCCTGCACAGCCCCCACCCACTACCATGGCCTCACCTGTGAACAGGTGTGGGAATTTGATGGGCAGGATCACAGCCTCCTTCAGGGCTTCCTTGGCTCCCTCCAGCCCAGCCACATCGCTCCACCGCACGTTGGGCTTCTCCATCATGATGGCACCTGTGAGGGTGTGACTCTGCTCACATGGTGCCCCAGAGTGGGCACGGAGAGCAGTGAGAGCCAGAGACCCTACCCACACCCGCAATCCCGCCTCCCCTCAGCTGTTTGGGGTGAGCAGGCCACAGGAACAGGCCCCTGGGCCTCAGCCCCACAGCCACCCCTCAACAGGGCTGTCAGTGAATTCTCTTCAACCCCAGAGGATCGAACCCACCACAGCCCCTCTCACCCATCAGCTGCTCCTGCAGCTTCTTCTTCTCAGGGTTCTCGCCCTCGCTGTCACTGTCGCTCCTGGGGACAGGGAACAGGGTTCAGGAGCGGGACTGGCACTGGTGTGGCAAGGAAGGTCTTGCCAGCTCCGCAGCCAGACAGGGGATCCCCGCCGCCCTCGTCCCCCACGCACCCCTTGTTGTCATTCTGTGCTTCTTTGACAGGCTTCTTGCCATGCTTGTCCTTGCTCCGCAGGTACTCCTTCAGCTTCTCTGCCCGGTCCAGGTACTGCATGCACTTGGCTCGGATGCTCTCCTTGGCCTTGTCGCTGTGAGCCTCATCTGCAGGGACCCCCAGGCGTCACCCGGAGCCCCCCGAGCGCCGGAGCCCCCCGAGCCCCCGGCCGGACTCACATTTGATGGCGTGCAGGAAGTACTCCACGGCGTGCTGGTACAGCCGCAGTGCCTCCTCGTAGTTCTTGGCCTTGTCCTCCTCAGTGGCTTTGGTGACCAGGTCGATGGCTTTCTGCGAGGGGGCAGCGCCGTGAGCACCGGGGCCGGGCGGAGCGGAGCCCCTCCCCACCGCCAGGGCCCGGCCCGGGCCCGCTCGCACCGGGGCTCTTCC